GCAGCTCGGCAGGTAGGGAAGAAGGCTTACTTCGTCGGCGTACGAGCCTTCGTTGATGGAAAAGAAATACCTCCCTAAAGTTTGAATATAATCATACGCGCATAAAGATCTGCACACGATTCTGCAAGTGTTATGGACGGTGACAAATGCAGTCATAATCTGATTTTTGTGGCATTTACAAAATAATATTTCTTTCAGTTTACGGACAGAATGGACCGTTGTTAATCGAAACATACATTTAATAGGCCTATGTTGCAATTGCAGTAGCCTAGTTTTCTAAAGGTTTTGATTTAGTTTAAGTATTATTAAGGTCAATTTGGGTTGTCAATTCTACTGTTGAGGTGTTGGGAACATGTTTTGTTTCAGATTTGTTAAATCTAAAGTTGCGAATATAGCACATTGGTATCTTTGTCAGTTTTATCTGTTAATGTCAGGGGAATTCGAGATTTGCTAAAAAGGAAAGCAGTTTTTTTGTTTTGCAGGAAATTCAAATGTGATTTTTATTATATTCAAGAAACACATGCATCTTTGTCAGATCATAATTTTTGGAAGAGTCAATGGGGGGATGATTTATGGATGTCATATGGGAGTAATCGATCAGCTGGTGTTGCGATATTAAAAGGTACATTTAAGGGAAAAATAATTCAAACTAAAATGCATGATTCAGGTCGATGGGTGATACTGGTTATAGAAAAGAATACAGATTTTTTTATTTTGGGGAATATTTACGCAAGTAATGTTACCACACAAAACAAAACTTTATTTTTGAATTTTGAAGACCAGATTGAAAAAATAGTGGAACAATATAGCAATGCAAAATTAGTACTTGGAGGGGATTATAATACAATATGGGATTCTGAAAAGGACTGTTTTCCACCTCGTTCAAATAACAGGTCTGTTCTTCCAGAATTGAATAATTTATGTTCTACTCTGGACCTGATTGATATATGGAGACATAAGTATCCAGAAAAAAATCAGTTTACATGGTGTAAAGGAAACCTTTCTCAACAATCACGTATAGACTATTGGTTGATTTCAAGGAATCTAATTAATTATGTTAATGAGGTCTCTATAGAGCCGTCTGTTCTTACAGATCACAAAGCTATTTTTCTCTCTTTAAATACAACTAAATCCAAAAATATAAAAACTTCTACATACTGGAAAATGAACCAGAATATATTGACAGATGTGCAGTTTAGAGATAAAGCAAAAGAGGTTATCATAGATTGCTGGAAGGAGGCAAATATAACTAAATCTTTTGGGGTAAATTGGGAATTAATGAAATATAAAATTAGAATTTTAGCAATAAGGAGAGGAAAAGAAATAGCCAAATATAGAAGAGAAAACGAAGAAAAAATTATACAAGAAATTATAAGTCTTTCTGGAAATTGTAATATAGATCAAGAAAAGAAAAATAAATTACTACAACTACAATTAGATTTAGATAAAATATATGAATATAAAGCAAAGGGTGCCTTTGTAAGATCAAGAAAGAAATGGTTAGAGGAAAGAGAAAAACATACAAAATACTTCTTTAACATGGAAAAAAGGAATGTAGAACTCACATCTATGGTCAAACTGAATATCAATGGACAGTTAACAGAAAATTCTAAAGAAATATCAAGATATGTGGCTGAATTTTATGAGAAATTGTATTCTTATGATGACAAATTGAGCAATGCACAGTCATTCTTAGAGTCTATTCAAGATGGCATTCAAAAGATAGGCGAATCTGGTTTAATTAGTGAATTTTATAAATATTTTCAAAAAGAATTATCCCCTTTTTTGTTAGCTGTATTTAGAGAAGCTATACAACAAGGTTATTTACCCACTTCAATGAGACAAGGTTTGATCACTTTATTACCAAAGCCCTATAAGGATATATTATTATTTTTTTAGAAAATTGGCGTCCGATTACGCTAATAAATAATGATGCCAAAATTTTTGCACAAATATTTTCAGAAAGATTGAAGAACTGTCTTGATCCCATAATTGATGAATGTCAATCAGGATTTATGAAAGGTCGACACATTTGCAATAATATTAGGCTTATTTTGGATTTAATTACAACGAATTTATTACAGATAATAGTTTTGTTTTATTTGTTGATTTTTTAAAAGCGTTTGATACTATCGATCATAACTTTATGTTGGAGACCTTAGATTATTTTGGTTTTGGAGTATACTTTAAAAAAGCTATTCAAACACTGTACAATGACTGTAACAGCTCAGTTAAGTTATCATGTGGAACTTCATCCAGATTTAAAATCAATAGAGGTATACGACAAGGATGTCCCATTTCACCATTTCTTTTCTTACTTGTAACACAAACCATGGCCATACATATTAAAAGAGATACATTTCATGGTATTAGAATTTTGGAGAAAGAGTTAAAATGCTCTCAATTAGCGGACGATACTGCCATTTAAAAAAAAAAAATGAAACTGAAATTAAAAGAGCTATTGAGTGCCTTAATATTTTCTCTTCTGTATCTGGTTTGTGTTTAAACATAAAAAAATGTGTGTTATTCCCTTTGAAAACATGTAATCATAATAACATATTTGGTATTCCAGTAAAGGTGATAGTAGATTATTTAGGTATTAAGATCTGTAAAGATCAAAAAGAGAGAAATAATTTGAATTTTACACCAATTATTAGGAAAATTAAACAAAAATTAAACTCATGGTTAATGAGAGATCTTTCCTTAAAAGGAAGAATATTATTAGCCAAAAGTGAAGGATTGTCACGCTTGGTGTATACAGCTCTTGCATTAGATGTTCCACAATCAGTTATAAAAGAGGTGGATATTTTTTTGTTCAATTTCATATGGAAGAACAGACCACATTATTTAAAAAAAACAGTTTTATGCAATCCAATTGAGGATGGTGGTCTAAATCTACTTGACTTTAATACTGCGAATTGCGTATTTAAGAATAAGTGGATAAAGAACTACTTGAACTCAAAAGGTAAAATCTGGAATATCATCCCTGAGTACATTTTTGATAAGCTGGGGGGTTTAGAATTTTTTTTTAAGATGTAATTTTGACGTAAATAAGGTTCCGATAAAGCTCTCTTCTTTTCATAAACAGGTTTTTTTATTATGGATGCTCATTTATAAGCATAACTTTTCTCCACACAAATCTTTGATTTGGAACAATAAATATATTACGTTTAAAAATAAATCTTTATTTTATAGAAACTGGTACAATAATGATATCATTTTGGTCAGACAGTTATTTAAGAATAATGGACATCTTTTTAATTACTGTGAATTCCTGAACTATTATAAGATCCCTGTAACTGCTAAAGAGTTTGCAGTAGTATTTGATGCCATTCCTAGTGGCCTTATTCAATTATTTTCAGGCAATGTATCTTCTGAGCCTATCTCCATATATACTACTAATCACTTAAGTATTCATGGTGTGAAAATTATAGATAAAAAATTTAATAACTTTTATATTAGAGAATTATGTAGAATTACATTATTGCCTAAATGCAAACCTTTTTGGAACTCAATGTATAATCAGATTGAATGGAAAGAGGTCTGGAATTCACCCAGTAAATACTGTCTTACTAATAAAGTTAAAGAAATTACATATAAGATTATTCACTTGATTTATCCAGTGAGACAAGTAGTCTCAAGATATTTTAGAGACATGGAGACAGCATGCATCTTTTGTAACACAGAAGAAGAATCGATAAAACATGTATTCTTTGAATGTGTATTTAACCAATTGTTTTGGCTTGATGTTGAATATCTGATATTTAAATTCACAAAATTAAAGATTTGTCTATCTGGTAAAGATATTTTTCTGTTATACAAAAATAATAGTTTGGAGCAAAATTTGGTGATTAACTTAATAATTATGTATGGGAAATACCATATTCACAAACAGAAATGGACAAATAATAAACCTAACATTATATTATTAAAAATTGAGCTTAAACATTATATTGAAGCCCTAAAAGATGCAAGAAATAAAAAAAGCGAAACGGATGTATAGAATATTTGAATCCCTTTCTTTTTGGAATTTTTTGTAATGTTTCCCCTGTAAAGTTTTTTTTTCTTTTTTTTCTTTCTGTTTACTGTTTCTTTGATGCTATTATGATTGTAATGGATAATAATATTCTGTGATCCTCTGTATTTGTATGTTGTATATTGTTCTTGTTATACAATAAAAAAAATTAAAAAAATTGAGGGTTCCCCCACCTGCTAAATCCCACTTTAACCACTGGCTATGTCTATATTACTGTGTGCAAAGTCCAAACTCCTCAAAAACATCTGATAACAATAAGTCATTCTGAGCAAACACGCTTTAGTTTTATATATTATGATGCTCGAAAGGCAAAATAGCGAATTCTTAACTATCAGCCATTTCAACTGAAACTGTCATGATAATGTTGTCTACTAGAGGGAGCCACAGGATTAGGGATCTTTATCTCTCCGCGAAGATTCAAGATGGACTTTGTTGTAAAACCTCATAAGACACATTTGAATTGATGACAGTTGTTTTTACTGTTCTTTCAAGCATTTAATAAATAATTAAAAAAGAAGAAAGAAAGAAATAGTCTTTAAAAAAGATTCAACTCGAATCGCTATAATGTGCAACTTTATTTGAATCTACACTGTTTCTTTCTAAACATTTTCACGGACCCGTAGCCTCTTCAACCACACTTTTAAAACCCCTGAAACCAAAGACTTTATGTATAAAATGACTTTGATTACATTACAGCTCGCTTTCTCTTCAGTGATGCAGTTTAGCGCCATCCGCTTCTGCTCAATCCTACGGATTCTTTTCTCTCTAGACAGTAGTATACTCTCCTTGCTATCCAAGTCTAATGACAAAAAAAGGTAAAATTTTAGGTAAGCTACATCCGAATATTATTTAACTAAACAAAACATTTTAGAAAACACTTCTGGGCATCAGTAGTGTATTTTGGGCGTCATAAACGCTGGTGTCTAAGTAGGGAGCTCGCTAGGTAATGAGTCCCAGCCAGAGTCAGCGTTCTCTCCTCTCATTGGCTGATCTCCTCATGCTACGCTAAGATCGGGAAATGTGCTTAACTGAGGATTAACTAACCTGTTGCCACCAACATATCCCTCGAAATAGGCGTCTTCCTATAATAGTAATTGAACTGAAGGTTTGTCGTGTGCACTGATTAGTGACTGTTATTGTTAGCGGGCTGTACCGGCCAGTTAACTTCAGCTAGCCTGTTAGCATCAGTGTATTATGGAGGACTTTATACCAAAACACTGGAATGAATCACGACCTGGAGCTTTCCTGTGGGTCCAGTGACAGGTGTGTATCGACCTAGTGTTGTGTTGTCACGTGTAATGTTATTTATACTTAGCAAGGCTGTGTATTGAATCATTCTTCTGCTATATATTAATAATTTGCCCTTTATTTACGCGTAATAGAGATGAAAGATGCCCGTTGAGATGAACAGGTAAGCTCTCAGATGTGCTGTTATTATGATCGTGTTGTTTCTGTGGGTTAGTATGTGATATGTGTGTGTGTGTACAGGAGAGATGGCTCAGTCAATAGGAGGATCTCAGGAGGAACACACTTACACACACACAGGTGCCACCTTCACCTTTTAATCTCTCTATTGTCTTTAAAACAGGAGACTGGCACAGTCTCGCTAATACCAGCTTTATAGGTTGGACTTGTAACCTGCCAAATTGGCTTGAATTTTCTGTGGCTAATATTGACTTTTGATTGTTGCATAAACTACCTGTCAAACGTCACCTACAGTACCGTTCAAAAGTTTGGGGTTGGTAAGATTTTTTTAATGTTTTTGAAAAAAGTCTGACATATGCAATAATAGGCAGGCTTTAATGGTATAGTATGATAAAGCGAGAACATCTCCGTTTTATTCAGAGACTCAAACTGAGCAAAAAGCATGCATTTTGGTGCAGATGCGGATATTGATATGGACAAAAAGATTCAATTCTGATGGGACTGAACTATATAGGACCTTTAAAATGAAGATTTTAAAAGTAAAGTTTATTAAGAATGAGAATCTAGAAAGATATCTTGAATACTTTTAGAGTTAAAAGCATGACAACTTTAGAAAAGGAATATGTATGGGACTCGCACAGGAATGTTTAATGCAATTGAGCTGATAGTAAAACACAAGATATACATTTCTAGTTTCAACATTATTTGTTCTTTAGATATTCCTCTTTAATTTAAATGCAATAAGTATCAGCTGTATGCAAAGTGACCCACATTTGATTTTTGATCACTGAAAATGTGTCAAATTTACCAATTTACTCACTGAGCCGAATTAAGATCTCCAAATCTCAGGGATTGAACCATATAGAGCCTTTAAAATGAAGATACCAAAAGAAAAGTTTGATAAAACCAGAATCTAAAAGGATATTAATAATAGATCTTTCATTTTTCTTGAGTTACATGCGTCCAAACTTGAGGCAAAATACACAAGTGCTTTTTTCCATGTTTGAACTGTCACAACAAAGATTGATCAAGTCAACAGATTTTACTAATAGATCTACCAATCTCTGTGTAAAAATTAAATAATTATGCCGCCATCTTTCTAAAGTAATATTTACACCCCTGTAATTTGGCTCCAAATCTCTGGTGAATATTGAAATTTGACCCCTCTCTACAAAATAATGTATTACTCAGTAAATATACATCTGTGACTTTTAATATTTTGTCTTTCTACCGAAAAAATATGAACAAAATAAAAAATTTGAGGAGGGTTGAGTAAGTTTCTGAAATTTGGTTGATTTGACACGGAATGACCCTTACATAAAATGCATGTAAATAACAATATCTGCCAATAATGTCTTAGTAAGATAATATTTCAATGATCAAAGCTCTGTAGGTTTAAAACATATAATGCAATACAATACAGCGATGATTGAGAGATGAACAAATAAACCCTCCTCAAAAGCCTGATTATCACATTTGACACTTATGGCTCATTTAGTTTTATTATTATTATTTTTTTTAATGGACAAAAAATAAGATGAAATTCTGATGCATGTTATGGAAATCAATGAGATCTTAAAATGCATGTAAGGATCAGTCGTCACTGTATCTGCCTATAATATGTCTTAGTAAGATGATATTGAAATGCTTAGTTTTATGATCAAAGCTCTAGTTTTAAAACATATAATGCAATGTGATACAGTGATGATTGAGAGATGAACAAATAAACGTTTTTGAAGTTATACTTCAAGGCCTTTTACATGCTAGAAAGTATGAGCTATCAGATGACAGAAGGGTTTTCTGCAGAGTTTGGATCATGTTGATCATTTAGTATCAACATGATAAATGGATCAACATGATCACTGATGTTGATGCAGTTTTAAGGGTTAAGCTCACCAAAGCTGCGTTTATTTGATCAAAAATACAGTCAAACTACAATTTATTACCATTTTAAAATAGCGGTTTTCAACGTGAATATATTGTAAAGTGTAATTTATCAATGTGAATAAACTCAAAGCTGAATGTTCAGCATCATTACTCCAGTCTTCAGTGTCACATGATCCTTCAGAAATCACTCTAATATGATGATTTGATGCTCAAGAAACATTATGAAAGAACACAAATGTGAGTAGTGACCAGAAATACAGTGTTGAATGAGGACACTTTTTCTGGCTGCTTTTCATGTCGGGAGATTCTGATCAAACGATTAAGAGTTCAGATCACTGAGTCCATCACTGAGTGTTGAAGCCTTTGACCAGTGATGTCCGTTATATTAAATGATCAAACCGGATCAGCAGAAGCCAGTCAGTGCCATTGAAGCCTCAACATTTGCTTGTATTCTGCCTTTCCTGATCCCTAACAGACAAAACGGACAGTTCTGCTGCTGACGGTCCTGACAACCAGCGTCCGGATCATGGACAGGTCAGACCCCCCGCCTCACGCTCTCAAACACACCTGGGCATTACTGACATCATTCACAGCACATGTTAAAGGAGTAGTTCACCTCAAAATGAACATTTCCTGATAATTTACTCGCCCCAATGCCATCCAAGATGTTCATGTCTTTCTTTCTTCAGTGGAAAAGAAATTAAGTTTTTGAGGATAACATTTCAGGATTTTTCTCCACACAATGGACTTCAAAACGTTGGTTGCGACTGAAGTCCATTGTGTGGAGAAAAATCCTGAAATGTTATCCTCAAAAAACTTAATTTCTTTTCCACTGAAGAAAGAAAGACATGCACATCTTGGATGGCATTGGGGCGAGTACATTATCAGGAAATGTTCATTTTGAGGTGAACTACTCCTTTAATGACCGTTCTGCTCATCAGTGAACTCTGAGATAAATCTCTCTTGAGTTCTAACCCAGCAGACAAGGTTATAACCCAGCAGACAAGGTTATAACCCAGCAGACAAGGTTATAACCCAGCAGACAAGGCGTCCTCACTCATGTGTTATGACATGTTTCTAATAATCATATATTTGTGTGTTTTTACAGAGCAGGCCAAGTGACCTTTCAGAGATACTTCCTGAGGAATACATATCAAATGGCAAATATGATGGTAAGTAATGCCTGGCTCACACTACAGGAGTTTTAGGCCGATTTATCCCAGATTTTCCCCTCCCGAGAATCTTGTTGAGGACCTTGATCGGTTCCAATGTTCGGCGCATTTCTCCCATAGGAATTTTAAAAGAAGTGATCTTGTCCTTTTAACAGTTTTAAGGGTTTTTCCGTGCCCTGACACTCCAGTCATTTGTCAGTCTCTGTGTTCTCAACAAGTTTCAGTCTTTTCAATATAAAGTCTTCTCTACTGACAGACTCACTCATAAAGACAGTCTAAAGACAGCGAAATAATGTTATTCTGCTGCTGTTCACGCTCAGGGACTATTTTTTCCAGCGGAAGGAATGCTTATAGTGACTTTACCTCATAAAGGTTGCATTGATACATATTTTTGGGCTTTAATATTTGTATTGTGTGGTCCTTCAGCCGGCCCGTGACTTATTCACGATACAGCACTAGCGCTTACTTATTGTGCCTTTCTGTGTCCTCCCAGCTTCCTGGTACCAGGGTCCGTTCACCAAATCCCTGCAGAGGGCCGAGGCTCTGTTTCGCACGCGCTTGAACCCCAGCCTGAAGTGGCTCATGGGGCAGAAGAGCAGAGACGGCAGCTGGGACTCGGAGAGCGAGAGCTGTTCCTCCAGGAGTGTCCAGCGCTTGGGTCCGGCGTTACAGAGCCTCGGCTCTCAGTGCCTCACGCTCCGCGACCCGGCGTCAGGAGCCCGTCCCTTCGGCTGCGTCACAAACCTCTCTCTCTCCTCGTGCCCTGAGGAGTTTCACCATCACTCCCAGGCTTCAGCGTTCTCCCAGCATTACTGCCAGCTTCAGCAGCTGATGGAGCAGAGATCCCAGCTGCTGTTCCTCAGCGAATACGCCCGGAGAACACACCTAGCCTCTTGTTTTGTAACTCAACTAGGTTTGGTTTTAGAAAGGACTCGCCTCCTGTTAGCCGACAGAGGGCAACCGAACTCCACATGGAGCCTAAGCCTTAAAGCTTTATGTCTGGAAATGCAGGTTCACGTAAACCATTGGGATCTTCTCAGGACTAAAGCTCGGACTGATCGCGGTCTCCGGCGTGTGCTTTTCATCCGAGTCGAAACGCTCGCGTCAATGCGGCGAACGCTTAATCTGTTAGGCTCACAGGCGGTGTGGCTGATGGAGCAATGCATTCACACGGCTCTCCGCGCCCTCGCCGAAGCCCAGCCGGATCGTGTGCCTCGAGACGCTTTAGTGGACCTGCTGTGTGCCGTCGAGCTCTTCAACCAGATCCTGCAGGACAAGAGGAGCTCAGGGCTCGACTCCGGCGCCAGACCGTTCCCCGTCGAGCGGCTAATGATGATTCTGGCCCGGAGTCAAGCGAAGAAAGCCGCCGAGCAACTCTACACATGGTCTTCCCAGCAGAGTAACCTCATACATATCGCAAACAACCCTCGGTGCGTATCATCACCCGCGATACACACACACACCGAAGCCGCTGTTGACGAGGCGTCCCGAAAGCCCGTTCACAGCCTCTGGTCCTCGAACCTTCCCTTCGCCTCCTTCATCTCTCGAGACCGAGAGTGTCTCGATACTCTCTTTCAAGTCCTGGTGACGTCCACGAATCTCCTAGCTCCGCATATTCCCAGGAAACCAGCGTTGGATCTGGAGGACTCGATGGTGATCTGTCGCCGGGCCAGTGAAGGCGAGGAGAGGCCTCTGAGCCGACCCAGAATGCCCTGCAGGACGATCAGTGTGGACCTGGGCCGGATGAAGCTCTTCTCTCACTATAAAGACCTGCTGTGGAGGGAGTTCGGGGAAGCAGTCGCTCGACACTTCCACTGTCAGTCGTGCAGCTGCGCTCTGGGAAGCCTCAACCTGTGGAGCGACGAAACGCTGATGCTTCTGGTGTCGTGGCTCAGGCATGCGTGTGTGGAAGGTACTGATGATGGGGTTGAAGTGTCAGATGTGTGTAATGTGTATGTAATGCTAATAGGGATGGCGAAAACTATAAATTTTCTTGACCGACCACCGAGCCTCATTAGCCGGTTGGAACCGGCTAACCGATTAGTTTAAAATATGCTACGCTATTTGAAATAGCCATTTCGAGCCGCGCCTGCAATTTCGCAACTCTGTCGCATCTCTCTGCCGCTCTGCCTCCTGCTCACACACACACACTATAATAGTCTCTGAGCGCTGTTTGTCACATTTCCTACCACATTTCTCTCCCGAAGAGGCTTGCGGGTGTCGCGTTTCCAGGTGATGCATCAGTGACTACGTTTACATGCAGCCAAATTTCGGGTTATGGTCGGGTTAAAGTCACTATTCGGGTTTCTGAAACATTAGGGATAACCCGTTTACACGCGTGAGCAGAGAGAGTTACTCCTGTATACATGGAATTGCAATATCCCGATGTAAACGCGACGCGCGGTTAGCGTCTGGACGTACGGACAACCTTAAGACGCAATATGCGTCATTTCCGATTCTTCTTCCTGTATCCAAACTAAAGACAACAACAACAGCAGCACCGGATAATGAATAGTTCAGGGCAGATAGCGATCGCCTTTTGTTTGCGCTTTGGTGCTGGTACTGACCTCGCTCCAAAAGTATGCTGTGCTGCGTCTCGCCACGTTTACTTCCGGTATACTGCACGCGGGTTTTTGTATGCGCCGAGAAGTTTCTCTACTCAAAAGACCAAGATTCCTTGCGAATAGAACATGCGCAGAACACACATCACTATGGGGATATGCCGATGCGCGTTTACATGACCAAAAATTCGGGTTAGAAAAGGGGTACCCCAGGTATAATATCCCGGTTTTTAAAATCCGGGATATGAGCATATTCGGGGTTTTGCCGGTGTTTACATGGCCGTTCGCGACCGGGTTATTGCTAATATCCTGGTTTTGAACGGGTTATTGGCTGCATGTAAACGTAGTCATAGATGATGTGCTACCACTGTATTTAAGCACTGTATCACACAAGTTGTAACATACATCTGTGTCATTTTTTTTGGTGAAATGGTCCCACACACTACTTTTCTTTGCACGCTTCATCCTGTCGTCTGCCCTGGCTCTAACCTCGAGTGTTTTAGCCTGTAGCCTTTACTTTCGCAAACCTTGTGAGCGCGCGAACACAAGCGCTGTGACCTCGCGCCAAATGTTTTTATTGGTTTATTAAAGGAGAACTCCGGCGCAAAATGAACCTTGGGTCTAATAAAACATTGGTACCTAGTCAACCGTTCTCTGAGATTTGTTTTCATGATAATCGAATGTAAAGAGTTTTATCTCTAAAAACTGTTTAGCGTATAACGCTAGTAATGGGGGCATATAATAAGTAAAAATAAATCGCTAGTTTATACCACTAACAAGACTCAGAATAGCCCCACACAAACACAGTAACAATAATGAGGGTCCCTACATGCAAAATGAAGCATTGAGAACTTTGTAAGTGTACAGACCGTTTAATAAGAAGATAAAGATAAAGACAGTCCACTTCGTGTATACAGACAGGAGCCATCTTTGGAAAACAGACTCGACTAATCAAACCACGAACGCCATTAATACAGTTCAGCTCACTTAGCACGTCGTTTGTGGTTTGATTAGTCGAGACTGTTTTCGAAAGATGGTTAGTGTGGGGCTATTTTGAGCCTTGTTAGTGGTATAAACTAGCGATTTATTTTTACTTATTATATGCCCCCATTACTAGCGTTATACGCTAAACAGTTTTTAGAGATAAAACTCTTTACATTCGATTATCATGAAAACAAATCTCAGAGAACGGTTGACTAGGTACCAATGTTTTATTAGACCAAAGGTTCATTTTGCGCCAGAGTTCTCCTTTAAGTACAAACAGGCGAGTTATGAAAAATTGAGTGTGAGGGATTTGTTCACTTCACACAAAAATATCTTGGAATGAGATGGCTAACTGTAGTAGCGTTTAGTCCACTCTCTATAATAGCCTAATTTAGAGATCGCTTTTTTTTTTTTTTTACTGACTACCGACAACTTTGATCGGTTAACGTTGATACGGTCAAACGGTCATCGGTTAACATCCCTAAATGCTAATGGTTTAATCTTGCAAATAAATGGCTTGGTCATATTTCACATCAAAATCGTTTACACTTTATTTTACAGTGTCTTTGTTACATGATATGTTACATGTACTTACCATAGCAATAACAGTAAATTATGCATAATTACATGCAATTAACCCTCAACCAAACCCTAATCCTACCCTAACCCTTTAGTAAGTACGTTTATTAATATTACTCTGTACTTAAATATATAATTACACTGTAATTATACATTTAACTACTGAGTAATAATAATTAGCTACATGTACTTACTATAGGGTTAGGGTAGGGTTTGGGTTAATTGCATGTAATTATGGATAGTTTACTGTTATTGCTATGGTAAGTACATGTAACATATCATGTAACAAAGACACTGTAAAATAAAGTGTCACCTCAAAATCAAAAGATGAAGTATATTTTTGCATAAACTACATACAATCATGATTGTGCTTGTGCACTACCTCTTCTGCTCACCGACACTGCTTTCATTTCAGCAACATACAGTAAAACAGCAATATTATGGTATATATTATTACAATTTAAAATAGATGTTTTCTATTTAATATATTTTAAATGTAAACGTTGAAAACAAAATATTTTTGTGAAAACCACATGTTTCCCCCCAGGATTCTTTGATGAATATAAAGTTCAAAATAACAGCATTTATTTAAAATAGTAAAGACATTGTAACAAAAAAATGTTTCTGCCGTTTTTGATCAATTTAATGCATCCTTGCTGAATAAAAGTAATAATTTCTTTTTTTTTTTAAATCATACTGACCCCAAACTTGCTACTGATCTTTATATGTATCTATATTATTTGTTTACTAGTGTGTGCCGGACACTATAGTTAATTTATGTAAGTGAGGAGAGCAAAATAAAGTAAACTGTGACATATTACACCCATAAACTCTTCATACAGTGACATTTATAAACATTAGGGACCAAAAATGATTCCTCCACTTTGAGCTGATCATGTTCTGCTGAAGTGTGTTTTCTGTAATTGCTAATGCTCTTTTTACACACACACTGAACAACATGAAGCATTGCTTGGTCACTGGTTGAGCTAAACTGGTATTATCTAATTGTGTAGTTAAATTGAACAGCTGACAGATATTCAACATAATTCATGTGTGAGAGTCTAACAGAAGGACGGACAAAACCAGTCAAATATCCACTGATCTGAGAACTCTGAGTTCTGCTCATGTTTATCACCATTTTCTAAACTATAGCGAATAAACTGATACTGTGAGAAATGTTGAAGGTTTCTGAATACATGGTGGTTTGACTGTATATGTAATTACTTGATGTATATCTCAATTTGTTTGCATTAAATGAATGACATTTGGGAAACTTTGCTTAATGTTCATAAAAATTACGTCTAATGAAAAATCTACATTCTCATCGGCTTAAGTTTCTTTACGCAAACTATTATTTGTTTCATTTTGGTGTGAAATATGGACATATTTGACAGTTTTTATGTTACTCTTAAATTTAAATAATATTCAAATACATTTTATATGTTGTGTTTCCTAGGGATGCACTGATTTAGACATGTTTTGTTATGGCCAATAACAGATATGATGAAGTCTATGCATTGTGTACTTTTCTTACTTTTATAGATTCTGTTGTTTCAAATTACAGCCGTGTTCACAATAAATCTAGAACTGTTAAATATTTTAACATACAGCAGAAAATATGCACAACTGTTTAAGATTTGAGACCTGCCATAGAAAGTATTAACCGATACTAATATAGTGACTGATACTGTATATTGTGCTTAAGTATTGCATTGAGGTTTTGACTTTTTTGTTATTCTGATATCAAAGTTTGTTTTTAAACATCTTTGTGTGTTTCCAGACCTTGTTCCAGAAGAATGTAAAGAAAGTTTGAGCAGTTTCTGCTCTCATGTGTTGTCTACTGCCGCCTTCTCACGCTGGGATGAAAGTGAGTAGTGTGTATTATCACATGATGACCCGTCGGATGAGTCTTCGGAGGTGAACGTGTTGTTGTTGTTGTGTGATTGTGTTGCAGTGATGTGTGTGTCGCTGGGCTCGGGACTGAAAGAGAAGTGTGTTCCTGCAGTAAAGCACGAGAGATGTGTCGTGAGAACGGCCACTATGGATCTGATCCTCCAGCTCTTCCCTCCTCTACACACCGTCCTCAAGCTCCTGCCCGGTAACGTCACACACACACACACTCCCGTCATCTTTTCAATTCACGTTTATTTGTATAGCGCTTTTCACAATACACATCATTTCAAAGCAGCTTTACAGAAAATTCACATTGCAATTTGCAGTGATCTGTTATCAGAGGTAACATGCATTTCAGAAATGTACATGCACAAAATCACAGTTAGCGAAACATTTATTAATTTAAACAATGTAATAATTTAATGCAGAAACAATGAGCTCTTTGAAGTAATGAATACTTGTTTGTTAACAAATGATTATGACATTTAGAAAACTGTAGCATCATCTACAGTACCGTTCAAAGCTTTGAGGTTGGTGATATTTTTAATGTATTTGAAGCTCTTTTCTGCTCACCAATGCTACACTTACTTGATAAAAAATATAGTTAAAACTGTGAAATATTATTAATGTAATGTGTAATGTACTGTAATGTTTTCCTGTGATCAAAGCTGAATTTTCAGCATCATTACTCCAGTCTTCAGTGTCACATGATCCTTCAGAAATCACTCTAATATGAGGATAATATGATGCTCAAGACACATTTATGATTATTATCAGTGTTGGAAACAGTTGTGCTGCTTCATATTTTTGAGGAAACTGATACATTTTTTTACAGGATTCTTTGATGAATAGAAAGTTTTAAAGAACAGCATTTATTTGAAATCTTTTGTAGGATTATAAATGTCTTTACTGACACTTTTGATCAATTTAATACACCATTAAACGATTAATCACATCCAAAATTAAAGTCTGTGTTTACATAATATCTGTGTGTGTACTGTGTATAATTATTTTTATATATAAATACACACACATGCATGTATACATTTAAGAAATGTTTGCATTTATATACTGTATATATATATTTATGCATAATTTATATTATATATAAATATAAATATTTTATATTTAAATAACACATTTTTCTTAAATATATACATGCATTGTATACATGCATGGAAAATACATGTATTTATATATACAAAATAATTATATACAGTACACACACATATATTATGCAAACACAAACTTTTATTTTGGACGCGATTAATCGTTGCCCAGCTCTTTCTATTATACATTGTAACTATCGTTAATAAAATAAATACCAAAGAAACAAATTACAAGCGATAATAAAACAAAATAATTGTGTATTGTGAAAATAATTTCATATATTTTTTATATATTATGATTTTAATATTGCTTTTGTAACGAAGTGCCAGTATTTTGTCTATCCCTGGTTTGTCCACTGTTCGCCCTGAGCTCATCCCGCTGATGATGTGTTTCCCCAGGTGAGCGAGGGTCCAGGAGTCTCCGGGAGACTCACCTGGGGCTGTTGTGCAGGTCAGTCGTCACCGTCCAGGCCTCCACTCTCTGGGTCATGAGCAAAGCATACCAGTTTCTGGCCTCCTGGTCCCTTAGTAAGTTCCTGCTGGTCACACAAGGAGATCTCAAGGTAAATTAAACGCTCACCTCTACCATGCATTTATATCCATCTTTTTCTGATAAAGGATTATATTTTAATCCAACATAGGGGTGTGAATTAAATAGACACTGATTCTTATTAAAGCTACTGAAGTTATGCAGTCAGGAGCAGTGAGTGCTTTTCTCTTTGTCTGTTGTTGTGTGATTAACATTAATGACAGACGGCAGCAGGTTTATGAGGCTACTGTCACTTTAAGAGCGAATGCACCGATCTAATATACTGACACCCATCCGAACTGTTTGCAATCACTTAAAGGGATAGTTCACCCAAAAGCTAAGTTTCTTTTAGTAATTCCGCAAGACCTTCGTTCATCTTCAGAACACAAATTAAAGCTCCAGTCGGCAAGTCTGGCAGATTGAGTGGATTTAGGAAAATTTTGAATGTTTACAACTCTCATGCCCCTCCCCTACTATCAACGGATACCCTCCCACCCAGTTCATGCTCGTCAGTGCGTGTGCACCAGATTTTCAGTGAACGCCAGGACTCTCAAGTGTCACGCATTGAGCGTGACAGTCACTCATTTCGGTCTTTTGTCACGCTCTCCCGCCACACATTGTATTTCTCACGCTGAAAAACTATTTGTAATATATTTAATATGCCGCAGCGCCCAAAACTCTGGCCGCGCCGCTCTCACTGTGGAACCGGCATGAATCAAGCGCGTTTCCTCTGGTGTTGTTCGTCGAGCTACACAATAGCCAATCAGAAAATAGCACTATTGTATCTGGGTAAGATTTAACGCAACAACCAATGACAAAAATGTATCCAACCCCCCGTCGGCTGGGTGTCACTCTTACCTGTCTTCAAAACTTGAGAGCCCTGGAACGCGCCCGTCTCATCAGCATCCATCAACACCATGGAGTATTTGGAGGTATGCTGTCCTGGCTAATCTACCGATAGATTGCAATTGCTAACGTCATTTATACTCTAAATGAGCGTACTTGATTTTCCGCCATCACTCTTCGTTACTGCGCGAACTTCAGGCGTGTGCATGTGATTGTAGCGTGCGCGAGAGGTGGCGTGTGCCCGATCTGTGATTGACAGTCAGATCTCACACCCCCCTGCACTGATTGGACATGATGAACCGGGAGCGGTGGATTTTTGCAAAACAAATAACACGCTCCAGGTGGAGTTAGAAGCTCAGGTTTTTTTCTAAAACCACTTTATTTATGTTGTTCTGTCAGATTATAGTGTCGATTTCACTAAATATGATCAAAAAAATGTTGCCGACGGCAGCTTTAAGATATTTTTGATGAAATCCGAGAAGTTTCTAAACCACGAATATGCAGCAACGTCATTGAAACTTTCAAGGGCCAGAAAGGTAGTAAAGACATCGTTAAAATAGTCCATGTGTCTACCAGCTGAGTATTAAATATACAACTGGATTGTTTGTTGAATTGTGGGAAGGGCTGTATTACTGTAATGGTTTGCATTATTTATTCATTTATTGTGTTGCTTCCTAATTGATACTCTTGTGGCTGTAATTTCAGGTTTTCCTGTTTAAAAAAAAATAATTATTCAGTTGTTGATTGTATTTGATGTATAGGATTTTGGGTACCATCCAAATGTGGTGGAATGTGAAAATTGCTGTAATAAAAACCTAAAAAATAGTCTATTTAACTACAGTGGTTCAAATGTAATGTTATGAAGCGACGAGAATGCTTTTTGTGTGCAAAACCCCCCCAAAATAACAACTTTATTCAACACTCTCTTCTCTTCCACGTCATTCTCCTACGCTGGTGACGTAGTGTAAACAGTGCAGCACTTCCTGATCACGCCAGAATGCCGGCTCACTATTGGCTGCTCCTGCGTCAGCATCACACGCATGTCGAGATGATCACGTGACCAGCGTCGGCCAATAGTGAGGCTGCGTTCTGGCGGAGAACCCGGAAGCGCTGCACTGTGTTTACTACGCGAATAGCGTAGGACAGCGGTCACCAACCTTTTCAAGCCTAAGATCACATCCCAAGTCCACATGTAAACCAAGATCTACCACTTGCAAAAAATTATGAAAAAACAAGGCCACAATGTAGTTCTACTTTGACATTCTTTGTTGCCTGTTAGTCACTAGCAAAATATTTGGTAACACTTTACTTGAAGGGATGTGCATAAGACTGACATGACACCTTCATAACCATGACATGACATATGTCATGAATATGAAGTAGGGTTTATGCATGTTTATGACAACTGTCATTAAGTGTCATTCGCTCAATAATGACATTTTGAATGCAAATATGACATTGTTTAAGATGTCTTTGTTATGACATCTTGACATAAACCAATACATCATAACCCGTCAGTGTCTTTGTCATGACAACTTGACATTAAATTAAGTTAAACTGTCATGTGGTTGGGTTTGACATTGGCTGTCATAAGGCCATTATAACTGTGTCATGAATATTTTTCGTGACCTCAACTACAGTGGTACACATTGAATTTGTCATTAAAAAGTTATAATGGCCTCATGACAGCCAATGTCAACACCAACCACCTGACAGTTTAATGTAATGTTAACCAATAAAGCTAAGTGATTTCTTAAGTTATTAATCTTAAGTTAAAATTAATCTGCTATGTCATGTTTATGACAGGTTGTGTTGTCTTAGTAATGTCAAGTTGTCATGACAAAGACACTGACAGGTTATGATGTATTGGTTTATGTCAAGTTGTCATAACAAAGACATCTCAAACAATGTCATATTTGCATTAAAAATGTCATAATTGAACGAATGACACTTATTAACAGTTGTCATAAACATGCATAAACCCTCCTTCATATTCATGTGTCATGTCATGATTATGAAGGTGTCATGTTAGTCTTATGCACACCCCTTCAAGTAAAGTGTTACCAAATATTTATTTAACTATACAAATAGTATATAACTATACAAACTGTCAACTATAGTTCAACATTTTCAACAGTAATATAACGTTGCTAAGTATTTCCACAGGCTTATTACTCATATATAAACACAATAATCAGTCAATTACAGGCCTAAGCCAATAATGTTTCACTTTCCCTTTTAAAACATATTTCAAACACTTCAAAATGGAAATACTCAGGTAAGTGCAACTAGCATACAAAATATTATGACAACAGTCATCCTTCAATTCTTCAAAAATATTTTCACACAAATTATAGACCTACTACTATTCATTACCTCAATAATCAATCAATTACAGGCCTAAAACAATCATGTACAGCACTGATTCTCTTTCCCTTTTCGTTTCGTTAGCTTGCGTATCGTTATCTTGAAGAGCTTGATGTGAGCGTGGTGTGAAGTGGCTAAGCGTAAAGCCTTGTTTATACTCGACGTGTTTGCGTGAGCTCCGCATCCCCTAGACACCATTTACTACACACAATAGGCTCACACATGGTGCATTTTAAATTAATACATAATAATGAATAAAAATATTGGGTTTTTTCTCTGATTTTGAAAACTCTTCGCGATCGACTTAAAATGCTTCCAAGATCGACTTGTGGACCGCGATCGACGGGTTGGTGACTCAGGGCGTAGGAGATCTGACACAGAAGAGAAGAAATTGTTGAATAGAGTTATTTTTTGTTTGTTTTTTGCACACAAAAAGTATTATCATGGCTTCATTACATTAAGGTTGAACCACTGGAGTCACATGGACTATTTTATCAATGTCTTTACTACCTTTCTGGGCCTTGAAAGTTGCAATGACGTTAAAGCCTGAGGCTGATTCAGGAAGCTCTCAGATTTCATCAAAAATATCTTAATTCGTGTTCTGAAGATGACGAAGGGTTTACCGGTTTGGAACGACATGAGGGTGAGAAATTAATGACAGAAACTTCATATTTGGGCAAAGTGACCCTTTAAGATATAAATGACTGTGTTTATGGTTAGCCTTGTGTGTATTTGAGAGTTATAGCGCAATAAGACGACGTGATGAAGTGTGTGCACGCTTTGAGTGTCTGCGCTCGGAAAGCTTAAGTCAGAACAGCGTGTGAATAGAAAGTTCAGCTGGCAAGGCTTTAAAATGCATGCGAAAAATAAACTTTCCTGATGGTGAAGAACTGCAATGTCACGTGAGCGTAACCCTACCGCTGCCTTACTGAATATGTGTGTGTGTGTGAATGTACTATGAATGTGTGTTTGGTCACGATACTACGATCCCTCTTCAAAGGCAGATCGTGGAGATGTTTTAATCGTTCACAATCTAAATCATCATATCACACAGCCCTGATGTAGTGTGTGTGTGTGTGTGTAGGATCTGAAGGACTCAGTGGAGAGCCTGGTCCAGCTCGCTGCAGCCGTCGGCAGAGACTCAGACCAGCGTCTGGTAGTTCAGCACACAGCCTCACTCGCTCAGGCTCTCACACATCTACAGGTGAGCAATCCCAGCATCGGGACACAGTTCTGCATTACAGGTGAAACTCGAAAAAAGTTGATTTATTTCTGTAACTCAACTTAAAAGGTGAAACTAATATATTAGATAGACTCATTACATGCAAAGTGAGATATTTCAAGCCTTTAATTGTTATAATTTTGATGATTATGGCTTACAGCTTATGAAAACCTTTTCACAATATTCTAATTTTGAATTTGGGGTTTTCATAAGCTGTACATAAGCTGTAAAAAAATATATTTTGATCAAATAAACGCAGCCTTGGTGAGCAAAAGAGTTCTTTTGTAAATAAAAAAAATCTTAATTTTAATTAAATCTGACCAACCCCACACTTTTGACCCATACCGGTGCTAAAACATTGAAATTAACGTTGTAAGGTAACAATAAAATGCTAAACGCATTTTAACAAAATGCCTTATGAGAAAAATCTGTGCTCTCTGACTGACTCAGTCCGTCTCGTATTGCAGGCTTTCTCGGATCTCGTCCTGAGGACCTTTTCTATGGACTGTAAGAAAATGTCTGTGGAGATCTTCCAGCAAACCATGCCGTCAGCAAAACACTGGAGGATCAGCCACAGAACGGGTACAGACGCTTGCGTTAAAAGGGGCTTTCACACCAGTTAGGTATAGGAACGAGCCTCCAGGATGGTTCCCCGAGAACTAATGTTTCCCATAGGAACGTGACGTGACGTAAGACACACTTGTGGTTGTGACTTATTTTGACGGCGCTGAGAACGACTGAACTCACAGCGCTCGCATTCTCCGTGTTCACAGTGTACGATCCGTCTAACGGTCTAATACGGTATTAGACAGAACTGTTGTACACAAGTAGACAGTAATGAACAGTTATTAGCGTGTGGGTCCAGTGTTGCTGAGCAGAAATACAGAATTGTGGAAATTGCAGTCATTTGCAAGAGATAACTTCTCACTTTGAGCACACGAATGCGTGTGTCATTTATTTTTAGAAGGTAAACACAGAAAACAAATGCCGCTGAGAAGCGTCCCACGTCATCATCCATTTAAAGGGACCGCGATTCCTGAACAGTCATGAAGAAACACACTAAGAACAAAGTACTGCGTTTATAACCAACAGTGTACAGTATAGAACTACGCTTAAAAACAAAAGTGAATTATGTATGTCACATTCACTACACAATCATGTTTCTCTTGATCCCTCAAAGTCGCGTTGGGTTTTCTCCTCAGAGTAAAGGTCAAGAGCTTCATCTATCACTGTTTTATATGTTCGTAGAGTTAGTTCTGGAGTAAATATATAGGCTATAATCTGTGTGTTCACACAGCCTTTTTAAAAATGGCGGCTGATGGTGTTTCGCCCATAGATCTCCATAATAAAGGCTAGATGTCTCGTCCGCGCTGCTGGCCAATGGAGGTCGACGTCCGCACTGGCGGCCATCTTGTCACAGGCAGCTCGCTCACTCCTAACATTGTGTTTTAATGGCGCATGTACTTTTTAAATAACCATAACTTGCTCAATTTTCTACCGATTTTCAAACGGTTTGGTTTGTTATAAACGTCAGAGATGTAGTTATGACACTGCATACTTATGAATAATAAGTGTATAAATAAATAATCATCCAGAATTATAGCCACGTTAATAACGTTTGTAAGAAACCAACCCGTTTGTAAATCCGTCAAGATTTCACAGAGATAAGAGTATTTGTGTTCGTGCTGATCACTCATCTTACATCAGGCAGCACAGAGCCCGCCAGAAAGCTTGCCTGTGACAAGATGGCCGCCGGTGATGACGATAGAGACTCCGCCATAAGACATCTAGCCTTTATTATGGATATCTATGGTTTCGCGTGCGTTTGGCCAATCAGTGTCACTAACGTCACTGTAGTTCCTATAGCGCTGGTTTAGACCGACTCTGGAGTAAATTAGTTCCTCTAAAAGGAGTTCCTAGAACTAAAACCGTTCCGAGTTCCTGCGGTGTGAACACGCCCAAACCTGGAACTCACCAACAGGAAAAAAGGTTGCGAAAGCCCCTCATGCTCGTCTGCAGTGTGTGTGCTCGTGAGCCGCTAAACCCTGGCTGTTTGCAGAGCTTCCCAGCAGGCCGAGCGAGTACGCAGCGTGTGCGGCTCAGAGCGTGATCGGGCAGGTGATGGAGAGCATTCAGACGCTCCCGGATGAAGCCCGTGTGCCTGCCCTCGCCGAGGCCACCACCGCCTTCATGGAGGCCTGGATGGAGCACATACTCACACAGAAGATCAAGTTCAGGTGGGTGAACACACTGCCAAACAAAGGACACTTCATTTTGATGGTCCGAAGCAACTACATGTCAACTAACTCTCAATAAAGAGTTAGTAGACTGAGGTTAGGGCTGCAGTTGACACTGCGGTTTAAACCTTTGGGATCGGTAAGAGTTAATTTTTTTTTTTTAAAGAAGTCTCTTCTGCTCACCAAGGCTGCATTTATTTGATTAAAAATACAGAAAAAAAAACAGTAATATTGTAAAATATTATGGCAATTTAAAATAGCGGTTTTCTATGTGAATATACAGTAAAGTGTAATTTATTGCTGTGATCAAAGCTGTATTTTCCGCATCATTACTCCAGTCTTCAGTGTCACATGATCCTTCAGAAATCACTCTAATATGAGGATCTGATGCTCAAGAAACATTTATGATTATTATCAGTGTTGAAAACAGTTGTTAATTTTTTTTTTTCAGGATTCTTTGATGAATAGAAAGTTCAAAAGAACAGATATTTATCTGAAATATAATCTTTTGTTACATTATAAATGTCTTTACTGTGACTTTTGATCAATTTAATTAATCTTTGATGCATAAAAGTATTGATTTCTTTTATTTCTTTCCCCCAAAAAATAAAATAAAAATCCTTACTCAACACAAACTTTTGAACGGTAGTGTTTAATGTTACAAAAGCTTTCTATTTTAGATAAATGCTGTTCTTTTGAACTTTCTATTGATCTAAGAATCCTAAAAAAAAAACTGTTTTTCAAAAATGTTTCTTGAACATCAAATCATGCGACGCTGAAGACGAGTGGTGCTAAAAATTCAGCTTTGATCACAGGAATAATTTACTTTAATATATTCACATAGAAAACAGTTGTTTTACATTGTCATAATACAGTTTTTTGTTGTTGTATTTTTAATCAAATAAATGCAGCCTTGGTGAGCAGAAGAGACTTCTTTTAAAAACTTTCAAAATTTTCCCGATCCCAAACGTTTGAGTGTGTGTGTGTGTGTGTGGTGGAGTATTGGACTTGCGGTAGCGCTTCACTGTGTGTTAACGTGATCTGATCCGCCCCTCAGCATCCAGGGCGCTCTGCAGCTGAAGCAGGACTTCGACTCGATCCGAGACCTGGTTCGCTCGGAGGAGTACCGTCTCTCGGAGGAGCTGCTCCAGAAGCTGCTGTCTCTGCGTGTGTTTCATCAGGTGGACAGTGCGATCGTGTGCCTGCTCCAGCAGCCCGTGGCCAAACCCTACCTGCCCTCCCGCAGCTGGGAGCCCTTCAGACACTGCTGTGAGTCACGCACACAACCACATCACCACAGACTCAAAGGGGTGGCTGACTATGATTTCCCTGTTCTAGCTTTAGTTAGTGTGTAATGTTGCTGTTTGAGGATAAACAACATCTACAAAGTTACAACGCTCAAAGTTCACAGAAAAGGGATATTTACTTTTACAGAAATCGCTTTACGGACTACAACAAACGGCTGGTAGAACTACACGAGCTTCCTCCCGGGTTAGTGACATCACAAACCCTAAAATTTACATAAACCCGCCCCTGGAAACGCGATTTACATGCTGCGTCCCAATCCGCATACTATCCGTCCTAAATAGTATTCGAAAAATAGAATTAGTACGTCCCAAATCGTAGTATGTTTAAATGAGTGTCCCAAAGAGACCCGGATGGTCTACTATATCCGGTCAGAATCCGAAGTGCAGATCGATGCGCACTCTAACGGCTGATATTCGGTTAGAACTACAAAAACGAGTGAAAAGTGTTAAAAACTACAGATATGGAGGACGCGCGAGTCCGGCGGTTATGTAGAGAGGTTTAGATAAAGGGGTTTGAGTGATTAATTATCAGTATGTCTTCAATGTTGTCCACATTATATTGCATCTGCAGCAGCATTGTGAACTTTTGCAAAGATACGTTTAGCCATTAACTTTTAAATGCATCATTTTATTCAAATTGCAAACACATGAGGAGAGTCTCCGTATGAAAGACCCACGACTGGCAGATCAACGTGCGACAACAATTCTCTCCGGAACTGTAAGAAATTATATTAGATTGAATGGAGGATTGTAACTGTGACGAGATGATTGACAGGGCAGTTTACGGTGATAGGATGCACACGACAGATCTGTCCGTTAAAGATGACGCAGTAGTGTGTCCCAAAGCTTGCCTACTCTTTTGCTACACACTCAAATGTATGTACTTTTTCTTCACAAAAACAGTACATACTTTTAGGGCGTAGTATAAGTAGGAGAACTGGTACGCAGCCATAGATTATCATGACAGAATATGCTAATCAATGACTAGAAGATCGTTAACTCCACATCAGCAACATAAATCCATCAAGTAACCATTCAGAGACGTCCTGTTGCTCTACGTCACTCTTCTTGAGTCTCTCCATATTTGTCCGACTCCGACTCCGAACACAACATAAAAGGCTAAAAGTTTTTGGAAATGTTCAGTGTGTGTGTGAGGTAATCGGAGCTGCTAACACACACACACACACACACCAGGGGCGTAGCCAGAATTTTATTTTTGGGGGGTCCCGTCTTTAAATGAGGGGGCAACATATACATATACATACATATATATATATTTTATATACAGGCCTATTCTGGTGGGTGCGGTGATGCAGTGGCGACTCATGGGGGTGGCGCTGCCAAATAAAGCACTTAAAAGCTTTCACAACCGGCAAAAGTAATGATTATATGAATATGTAAAATATAGCAAGGAGATATTTTAATTGTTTATTAACAAAAAAGTGTTTTCTTTGTCGGCTAAGATGAAGTTGACGATGCTGACTCGCAATCTTCAGTAGTGAACGTGCCAGAGAGAAATGCACATTTCATACGGATGACATAAGCAGAGAGCAGTCTGTAGTCTGTTTTCTTTCGTTTTGAAATCGTTCTGTTTAAAAGTAGACATGTGAGACAAGTAGGCTACCTTATATGCTGAGTTTCGGTTCATTAATGAGACGAGCTCCAGTTCATGCGCCGGCGCCTCCGTTTCTATCTATCGTATGCTATATTTACTTCTTATTTATTAAATCCAGGCAATCGGTTGATGAAATATTGATTAAATACAATAAGATACAATTAATACAAAACGAAATTCAGGTTAAAGAAAGGTTTTGTGCTTTCTGTTTGATCAAAAGTTTTAAAGCAGTCTTTAGTGCCGCTTTCAGAGCGCTCGCGTCCGTAATTTTTTTTTTCCTCATAAATGCAAACACGAAAATAAAATAAAAGAAATATTTTATGTACTGTGGAGACTGAGAGCCAACCCTTCTTCATCCGGTGGGTAGTATTACTTTGGTTTGCGCAGTGTAATTCACATAATCACTAAAAAATATTTTGCCTCCTAAAGTTTTTTTTTTTTAAGCAATCAGAAATCTGAGGGGGCTGGACATGTAAATGAGGGGGCCTAGGCCCACCCAGGCCCCCTCGTGGCTAAGCCACTGACACACACACACACACACACACACACACACACACAAGCTCTTGAAGCTCTGCCCTCTGTGCCGGGAGCAGCAGCTCATTTGCATTTAAAGGGTTAGTTCACCCAAAAATGAAAATGAAGTCATTAATTACTCACCCCCATGCTGTACCAACCCCGTAAGACCTTCGTTCATCTTCGGAACACAAATGAAGATATTTTTGATTAAATCTGAGAGGTGGATCACTGCTACATAGGCTGCCTAAGGGAATGAAACTTGACGGCCCAGAAAGTCAATAAAGAAAATGTTTAAATATTCCATGTCGCAACAGTGGCTCAACTATAAGTTTATCAAGCGACGAGAATACTTTTTGTGCGAAAAACAAACAAAAATAACGACTTTATTCGACTATTCCTTTTCTTCCTTGTGGGCCTGAGATGAGAGTTCAAGAGATTTCCACGACGCATGTGCGAGAACTGAGAAGAGGACGTTCTTCTTCTACTACTTCTTGTTCAGTTCTCGCGCATGCGTCGTGGAAATCTCTTGAACTCTCGAATAGTGGAGCCACTGTAGGCACATGGAATATTTAAACATTTTCTTTAATGACTTTCTGGGCCGTCAAGTTTCATTCCCTTAGGCAGCCTATGGAGGAGTGATAAACCTCTCAGATTTAATCAAAAATATCTTCATTTGTGTTCCGAAGATGAACGAAGGTCTTACGGGGTTGGTACAGCATGGGGGTGAGTAATTAATGACTTAATTTTCATTTTTGGGTGAACTAACCCTTTAAAAGGACACACACAAAAAACGGTGCGTTTTTGCTCACCCTCAAAAGATGCTCTTTTATGGACTTCAAAACAGAAACGGCCAATCACTGCCATTATAAAGCTTGGAAGAGCCAGGACATTTTTTAATATAACTCAGATCGTCTGAAAGAAGAAAGTCATATACACCTAGGATGACTTGAGTAAATCATGGGCTAATTTTCATCTTTGGGTGAAGTCTCCCTTTAACCCCGTGTGCCGTGTCCCTCAGGCCCGAACAGCGCTCAGGTGATGGATCAGGCGGCAGGAGCTCTCCATAATCTGGAGAGCATGGATGTGCAGGCGGCGTGGCACCAGGCCCTGACCCGAGCCGAGAGCTCGCTGACCCCAGACCTGCTGACCCCCCCGCCCGAGTCCTGCGAGTCCTACCTGGCCTCGGCTCAGCAGGAGTGGCTGGACCTGCGGATACACACCGGCTCCCGCTGGAAGCTGCCGGGCCTGCAGTGCTTCTCCAGAGCCGAGCCCTAGCCGGAGACGGGCCGCATCCGCCTGCCAATCACATCAGACGGACTCACTAACAAACACACTGATGAAGCGAGGGAGTCCTGGACCGAATCACACGTGTAGCACTCATTGCCTTTCTGAATAAACTGTGAAAATAGTAACATATTTCATATATTCATTTCCAAAAGTCTATTGCCAAAGTACCTAAATGCTGAGTCATTTGATAGGGATGTTACAGTTTGTTGTTTTTTTAAACAAATTATTAGGAGTGTAACGATTCCCTCATGTCACGATTAGATACATATCACGAGACTGAACTCACGATACGATATTATTGTGATACTCCAAGACATGATAAAAGATTAACAAAAAATAAACTTGAATAAAAGGCTAAATTTAATATTACATTGTGTGTGTACATGAATAGTCTTGGATGCTGTAAACCCAAAGCACAGGACAATAGAGACACCAGAATAACAATATTCATGATTCTGAAGATGAAAATACTGAATTATTGTAGATGAATATGCTTGATCTCTGTCACTGACTAGATATATTTATAATAATGTTGGCCACTTTTACTGGTAACATCAGACATCTGGCATTATCAGCACACACACATATTCCCCCAGTGCATTATTATACATTATATTCAACATTATATACAGTAGTTTAATGTAGTACTGACACTACAACTCTGTAAATTAGAATTTTTTCACGCACAGTAATTTTTATTTTGGGTGAACTATCCATGATACATATTGTTGCATTTTTGTATTATGATATATTGACACAATATATTGTTACACCCCTACAAATAATGCATACTAAATGCATGAAATACATGATTTATTATAAGGATAATGACAGCAAATGATTTCATTAGCTGTAATAAATTCTCATTTGATCCGTTTATTATTTTGCTATTATATGAAAATTTATCAATTATAAATTATGGTTTATTTGAGGAATTGGAGTCTGTTAACTGTACTGAACTTATTTTTATTGCCTTTCCCCCTATTAATAATCATCATAAATTAGGTATAATTTGAAAACTGTTTTGAAATTGGACATTGCGTAACACTAAACTTAATATTTACTCCTTTTTTAAGCTCTTTTTTTTAACATCTCGGGAAAATGTTTTGGGCTTTCTCATCAAAATATGACTTTGTTACAGAACAGGACATTGATTCATACATGTCCACTGTAAAGACACCAGGACTTACAGCGTGTTTATCAGGCGTTCTGGGAGACACAAATGAAATTATAGATCTATATAACTATAACATATTAGATATTATGAAAATATTGCCAATTATTACTCCCATTATTACACATTAATTTTTTTTCATTACATATTTCCCCAAGAACAGATTAATATGCAAATTAAATAGAGTGTGTAGGTATTATATTGAATTTTGTATTGTGTATTGAATGGGACTACACGTTTATGGCCATTTTACCCAAATATTGTTTGAAGTAAAATGGTGTATCAATTCATTCTATTATATCTTTCATAACATAGTTGAGAATCATATTTATTCAAAGTTTGTTAAAAAAATTCAGAAACATAAAAACTGATTGGTGAATAAAAAAAAAAAATCCCATTCATATTGAATTTCATTAATGTCTTTATTTTTAAACAACTGAGTCCTGGTGTCACAGAGCACATAGCATGAGATATGAATAACATCTCTTATTTAAAAATGTTAAAATAAAAATGTTTCTTATGTAATGACATGAAAAAATACTACATTTAAAAGGGTCTGGGTCTCAGGAGGATATCACAGAAGTCTGACAGAACATATAAAGTATGTTTAATGAGTTTCAGGAGCTCCATGAAGGGCAGTTTAATCTCACGTGACCGGAAGATGGCGACAAAACATCATGAAAACACACGGTCAACTGTTGAGCATCAAAATGACCTCAGGCCTACAATATAACACACATACACACACACACTCTTGTTGACTCATTTACCTGTTTATATTTGGTGTTCATTTATGAAAAAAATAGAGGAATGATCGTGAACTGGGAGCAGAAATGCCTACATTTGTACCAGATGTAAGTTTATACTGTTTATGCTAATTTACTTACGATTATAATTACTAATTATTTTTCTAGTTGCCTATTTACTCAAGTATTTTAATTTTAAGTATATAATGGGTATGCCAAATTATGTACAAATGTTTTCCCGCCAAACATTTAGCATTTTGTAGCATACACTACAGCAGAGATGCTATGATGTAACTTATAGCTAACGTTATGTTATTGTTAGCTTGAGCGTTATACAGATCATAACATCTGGCGGTAAATGCAGTACCTTTTCTGATCAAAAATGTCCTCACTTTATTAGCCTAGTCTTGCGTGGTGACTAATTAAAAGTCAATAACAAACATTATGGAAATATTCATTTAATGCTCATATTTATGATTTTAGGCATTAAAGGGATGGTTCACTCAAAAATGAAAATGTTGTCATTATTTACTCGCCCTCAAGTTGTTTCAAACCTGTATGAATCTTCTGCTGAACATAAAATAAGATATTTTAAAGAATATTGGCAATCAGACAGTAGCCATTGACTTTCATAGTAGGAAAAAAAAATACTGTAGTCAACGGGGTCCATTAAGTTACCAATATTCTTTCAAATATCTTCTTTTGTGTTCAGAAGACAGGTTTGAAACAACTTGAGAGTGAGTAAATGATGACAGAATTTACATTTTTTGGGTGAATTGTCCTGATTAAAGTCAACGTGAAGTTCCAACAATGGAAGACACAAGATCTCCACGGCTTCATCTGGCTTTAGCTCTGGGAATGACTGACCCGTCCCACTAGTAATTAATTTAAATTGACCATTACGGCTGCGAGGGAGACTTGTGATGAATTTTCCCAATATCACCGGCTCCCCAGAAGGCCCGTCGCACACCTGGGAAATGTATGATAAAGCCTGATTGGCCGTGGAGGAGCTCCCTTCCCAGCATGCACTGCGGCTGAGTTATGGCCGCGCGGGCCACCTCACTGTTTGCTGGCATGTAATTTGAATACAGATTAGTCGGCCCCGGTGTTCCAGTGCTCTGGCATTACCATTACAGGGGACAGTAATTTGAGTGATGAACACACGGGTTATCACAAGGTCATCACCTTCAGCGAGGTACGAGTGTGTGTGTGTGTGTGTGCCAGCCAAAACACTCCTGGAGCCACCAGCCAAGGCCTTCGATAGCATAATTAGTTCCTTTAATTAAGAGGTGAGCCAGCTGATTGAATAAATCCGCTGCTAATGGAGCATCCGATCCCCGTCCCAATAGCTCACGCGTACTTCTCTCCGGCCCTCGCGGCGAGGCGGGAAATGTTTGTGTCGTTTCACATTTCCTTTAAACTTGCAAACTCAATCCATCTCTTAACCTTTAAAGTCTCGTCTGAAGACGTTTTTGATTTCTATGGCTTTTTAAGATTTAATAAAAACAGTGATAGTTGTATGATGATTTGACTGTGTATTGCTGTTGTGCATCTGTTGATGTTATTGCATTGTTCAGTGCTTTGCTCTAGTGTACTTACAAATGTCGTTTCTTTGCAGAATGAGCAGATTTCAGCAGATTCGTAACGACAGGCTGTGTAACGCTTCACTGAAGGTGAGTTATAGAAATATGTGTTATTTTATACGTGTCAGCTCCAGCTTTAATAATAATGATGTGATTTTAGTCGCTCTATAAACGTGTCTGTCCTCATCATCTCTTATCTTAACTCTCAATATATTGGATAAAATATATAAAAATAAGGTAACACTTTAGTTTAGGGTCCAGTTCTCACTATAACCATAACTAGTTGCTTATTATCATGCAAATTATAAGATTATTGGCTGTTTATTAGTACTTATAAAGCACATATTAATGCTTTATCCTGCATCCCTTAATCCTAAACTTAACAACTACCGTAATAACTATTAATAAAAAGTAATTAGGAGTTTATTGATGCAAAAGACATAGTGAATTTAATTTATTAAAAGTGGGAATTGGACCCTAAACTAAAGTGTGACCAAAAATAAATTAAAAGTACTTTTTAAGAAAAAATATTTTTTTAATATTATCAATATAATTTGATATATATAAACGTAAATCGTACTCTATTAGTTGCCTTTAATCGCAGTTTAGTGAACACACGGGTGAATTTAAATCGTTTCACTGTGGTTTGAGTGGATGTTTCTTAAGATATTAATTCTAAGTGAAAATTCTTCTCAAATATTGTATTAAGAACTTTTTCTTTCTTAAGAAGAAGAAAACGGTTTTGGTGTTATTCTTGCTTTTTTTGCAGATTACCATAATATCATAATAACAATCTAATGCTTAATATTTGAACTGAGCTGATTAAACATCTAACCGTTGAGGATTTTAGACAAGTCTGAGGTTATAATAACTTTAGGAGGATATTTACAATGATTTTTTAAAACGTTCTTTTCAGGAATTCAAATTCTTGCGTTTTGTCATTAGAACAATCTGTAAAGAAAAAAGATAAGAACATTCCTTAAGAAAATGTTTTGGGAATACAAAATATTCTTAACTTTATTCTTTAGATATAAAAAATAAGAATAAAATACTTTTTAAAAAATTTTGTTATATACTTTTGTGAATCTGGCATCTTTTTCTAATTTAAATATTCCAAACAAAACTTTTTCTTGGGAATATCATCTTACAGTCCGCCTGCAGTCAATCATTTTATCGCTTAAAAATAATCTTTGATAATCAAAATGACATATTTAAACATTTTCTCCCTGTGGAAATGCCTTAAAATAGCCTGAATGTAACTCGACACCCTTGCTTCATTTAGTATACACAGATTCATGAATATGCAAATGAGCCTGGGATTGGTCACATGTTTGCAGGAAACAGGGGCGTGTTTTTGAGACTGTCTTTGGTTCACTGCAGTTTTAAGCAGAAAATACTCAGCAATGCTGTCGACTTATGAACTTACACATGGTGTGTCTTAAAGCGTATTAAAAACACCACATAGACACATAAACAACATTAAAAGCTGGATTTTCACCACAGGGGGACTTTAATTGATAATCAATGTATAGTTGTTTTTT